TCAGACACCGCAAAGAGGAAACTGCAACGTATACTACATATATATATATATATATATATTTACAAAGTTTTAAAAACTGCAGGACGAGCGGGTGTTCGAGAGCATCAGCAGCAAGCGGTTGATAGCGCTGCCACGTTGGCTGCACGACTTTGATGTTCCAACCTAGAGGGCACAAACTGTGGGATGCGTTTATGCCGCAAAGTCAGATTTCAGATATCACAGTGCATGCGGTCTACTGAAAAGGCAACTAAGGGGCCCAACTGTGGGTGTTTGGAACCCTGCCTCAGCCGAGAACTTGACTTCTCTCGTCTTCTCCTGAGCAGAAAGAAGGTATCAGGTATCAAGACATAACTCCATGCCGGACGTATTGGCCCGAGATTTCAACCTCTGCGACCTCTCTCTCTCTCTCTCTGTCTATGCACGGTGGTCGCATGGAGCTTGATGGCATTGATCAACTATGCCACGAGCAACTGCGCGGGCCCGGGCTCCGTGTGGTGGCAGACACCTTTCGGCCTAGGGCCTGAAGAAGAGAAGCACTTCCTCCGTTGCTCCGTACATGACCGCACACGTCTGGCTGGCGAGCTCTCTGCAGTGTCCGGCATCTTCCCACCCTGGGTTTACTGCTATCATGGTGTCAGATTGCTGATCTACGCACTATCCTGTTGTCTGCATGTGGGCTACGCCATCTGTGCATGCCGCGTGGACTTGCAACACGCCCTTCTGTCGGCTTTTGCTCGTGTGACACTCTGGACGGCGGTCCTGGAGATTTGTGGCTTTTGCAATATGACTGGTCCACTTGGCAGAAACCAAAGCTGGCTGGAACCACTCTGGTACCGGCTGACAGCCGGTACACTGAAACAGCCGCTGCTGCCTTTCGCGGCACTTCCACGTAAGCGCGGGCCAGCTGACCAACTGCTCTTCTTGCTCTACCTCTGCAGTGCCTCAGCTTTCCTGATTTCCCCGCTCCCGTTGGACGAAAATCTTGTGAAGCTGCGACTGACCGTGCTTCTGTTGACGCTGCTTTGTCTCTTGGACAGGACAGCCTACACCGGTTCCTGTGGCGCTTACTACTTTCCTCTATTGCTATGTCTGGCTGTCGGAGGCTCGGGACCTGCAGGACCTGCTGGCTGCCAGCTCGTGCAGCTCGCACACCTCTTTATGCCAGGTGGGTAGTTGTCAAAATTATGGTCCCTTTTGGGGTACCCTAAAAAATAGGTGCCGTATTATTATAACAAGAACCCAAAAAGGGACCATAATTTTGACAACCACCCAGGTGTGGCCAAGATGGGGCCTTGGTTCCCCGAAGTCTTGCCGAGCATGGTTGGCTTTTGCCCCTTCCTGCCCCAGTGCCTCAAGGAGAAAATGTTCAGGCGCGATGCTGGTGGAGGGCTTCAATTTTTACGGTTCTCGCCAGCTGCTGGCATGGCCAGTGTGTGCGTTGTCCTGTTGGAGATCGTTTGCCCAGGATTTCTTGTCTGTTCTTGGGAGAGGCTCCAGACGACTGGCGTGGTGCTTGCTGTTGGCCTACACCTCTGCATCGTCTTCCTGATGCCTCCTGGGGCTGTTGGCGAGTGGAATCTCTTCAATGCAGCAAGCACTGCGTACCTCTTCGGCATGATGAAGACCCAACCGCTGCAGTCAGATCCCGGCATCCTCGCATCGCCTTTGATGATCTTCGTTGCATTGATGGTTCTTGGTGGGCCACTCCTGGCGAATTTGAGGCCAGACGCAGTCGGCAACCACTTTGCATTGCGAAAGTACACTGGCAACCACCCGTACCACACCTTCCTGATTCCCAGATCGGCCACGTGGAAGATGAAGAAGTTCAAGACCTTCGCGCCGCTCGCGAGCGTTCCGCCGTCCGCCCGAGCAGAACTGCTGTCACGCGCCGCCTTCCACTCCTTGGTACGGGGAAGGCTGAACCTCAGGCGAGCTCTTGACATTCTGGTTCTTGCACTTCCTGCTGGGGCACTTGAGGATGTTGTGTGGTTTGATTTGGGCTTCCTCCTGTCGCAGACGTTGCTGGACGTCTCCTTTCTGGATCGGCAGCTCTTGGCAGAACTAGGCCAATGCTTCGAGGCCGGTGAGCTTTATTCCTTCCGTGTGTCCTCGTTCCCAACCTTCACACGCTGGCCGCACCGCGCACCCTGGGAGCTTTTGGACGTCGGAGCAGAGCTCGTAGTGGCCTCCGGCCATGTGCGTGCGGATGAGACCTTCGAATGCGACTCTAGCGATTCCGGCGCTTCCGTGCCCCTGCTCAGAACATGAATCAGGCGACACTTCAAGGCTGGCAGTCGCTAGCGAGACTTTCGTCGCTTCTCACGTCTGGGACCTCCCCATCCCGGCCAAGGACTGTAGGGAAGTCTTAGAGACGTCTTCGGCGTGAGAGAGCTTGGCTCATGCTGCGGCGTTCCGCGAGTTCCAATGCCGACCAGATGCAGAAAAGAGAGGGCAAGGATTCAGGGATCCCGCAGCAGCCTAAGCCAACTCGGCAGCCCGTGCTGTTGCCTCTGATCGTTAGCCAGCCTGGCGATTCCTTCTCTTCGGAAAACTTGCTTGTTTTGTCAAACTCAGTGCTTGAATAAGTGGCAAGCATGTTCCTCTCTACACATACGGCTGTTGTTTAGGGTCGAAGAACTGCCTATCGAAGTGGATGCAGGGTTTAGGGCTCAGGGTTAAATTCAGTGCTAAGTTCTCGACGTCCCCGTGCGAAGGCCATCTACACCCCTAATCTCGAATCCCGAAGCCAAGACCTCTTGCACCTTCCTCGCATGCCTCAGATGCCCGCGGGCGAAGTCGCGGATTCCCTAGTCTTGGTTGAACATCCTTCCCCCATAGAGCTCATTCGGTGGCTCTGAGTGGGGCTTGTAGCCTACCCTGCTCAGGCATCCTGAATCCGGTTGCAGCAAACCCGATCCATCAGTTGGTGTCTCAGGTCCTTCGTGGTCCTTTCCCGCCTCGGGATTGCCATCATGCTCGGAACAAGCGGAGGCATGTGAATATCGCCTTCCTGCCCATCATGTCAGTCGTTGAAGCTGAACTGTCTTACACAGCTTCCGCTACCGATCTTCCTGCTCCGAGTTTCACTTGTCTTCAGCTGTACTAGCACACGTCCTAACATGGAATCTTACTTTCCGTGTGCTGGGTCCCAGTTCAGAGGTGTATGCTTGCAGCGGCGCCCGCAGGTCTTTGGCTCGCCCTGACCAGGGACGTGACAAACATCATGTTGAATGCAGTGGCGCTGCGACTTCTGTGCAATTGCGAGGGTCTGTGGCTTCTGCTATGCATGGTTTACTGTGGATCAGGGTGGAGCTCTATAAACTGCATATTTCAAGAGGGTTGCTGGTTGAAAGAAGGTCTTTTGCATGTGACCCCTTTTCGAGGCACCCCGAGTGTTGAGCAGTGAAGCCAGCATGCTAGACTAGATGCGGGTTACAGGTGCTTGACTCTTGCTTCTGGCACGCTGCCTATGCCGTGGGCCCATGAAGGCTTTTGCACATGGCTTCAGTGTTTTCAGAGCTGTCTGGTTTTGAAGATGAAACCCGATGTTTCTTTTTGTTGACCGCAAGGGCGCCTGTGGGGCTTTCAATGTTCGATGGTCCGATTCCTGGAAGCCTTGAGGCTCTTTGTGTTGGAGATCGATGACTTGTTGTACAAGGTCCTGGCACCCAAGCACGCCATCAAGTGCCCCACCGACTTCTTCAACGACGGATGGTCTCTTCCTGTTCGGTGTGGGTCGGAGCCATCTTGGTGCATTGCCGGGGTCTGGGAGGATCCCTTTCAGTGCATAGGACAAAGAGATGTTCGCTTGCCTTGTATGGGTTGGGTGCGGTGCTAGGCTGTTTTCCTTTCTGCTGCTGCTGGTGATGATGATGATGATGATGATGATGATGATGATGATCATGATGATGATGATGGTGATGATCAGCTGATGCTGGTGGTTGTGGCGGTACTGGTGCTGCTGTCAGCGCATTGGCATATCCCCGTCGTTGGATCCTAGCCGCCCTTCCAGCCGGCAGTTTGGTCGAAAGCCGCAGCTGGAAACGGGGAGGAGCGGTCCTGCAATTTGTGGGCAGTATGGTATATCAGTTTCTGTCATTGGTTTTCTGGAACCAGGCTTTCTGTTTCAGCCTCGAGCGTATGCGAGGTACTTGGCTTCCGTCCGTGAGTTTGAGGTCGGCCATCGCAAGACATGGGCAGGCCCCACTGCCGTTACATCATTACGGTCATGCTCGTGAGTCGTTACGAAATGATTATGACGATTAGTCCCTTCCCCTAAGATTAAACACCCGGGGGGGCGGGGGACCCTCCTCAATCTGAGGTGTTGTCAATTTTAGGGTGTACGTTTCTCTCTACTGCCACTTTTCAGGGGTCGTGCTCTTGCTCCTGCTCTGGCTCCTGCTCCTGTGCTGGCTTGTGCTGCTTCTGATGCGTCTCTTGCTCCTGCTCGCTCTCGCTTTTGCTTCTACTGAGAATGTCAGTGGCAACAATCATGTTCATGATTGTTGCTCGTATCTATTTAAGTTACTGCTATCATGATTAGTATGGAGAGTATCCTTATCATCACTAAAACTGCTGTTTTGTTTAGTCGTTGTACTATTGTTGCTAAGCTTAAGTACTTTTGTTGTTTGGGCTATTACCATTAACATAACTATTTTGTTTGTTGTTATTGTTAGTCTTTATTGCCTCCATCATACTTTTTTTGGCTGTACTTATGCTTATGCTTATGCATATACGTCAAAGCATTATCAGTAGCTGTTCCCGTTATCGTTATATCATTAACCCTACTTAGTGTCATTCTTCTTGCCGCTGACTTTATGATGATTGTGAGGTATTTGTTTGTGATCGTTAATTGTTGTTAATCTTATTCTCGTTGTGTGGCTTCTTACTACGATGATTGGAAGTATTGTTGTTGATTCCTGTTGTTGAAAGTGGTTTTATTATCGTTGTGTGGTTCGTCGTTGGCCGTCGTCGTCGGAATCACAGCCGGCGGTGTCCCACCTCTGCTTTGGATAGCCGGTGTTTATGGTTCGGACCTGTATGCTAACGAGAAGGCAAAGTTACCAACACCACAATATCACATTTCAGGGTCCAGGTAGGCAATGTTGAGCTTGGCGTTTATTCTTCACGAGGGCTCTGTGAGTTTACAGTTTCTCCGACCGTTATGCCTAGCTTTGGGCTTCTTCGCTAGGATTCACAGTCTCAGCGCTTTGATTTTCTGCCTTCCATGCCCAACACACCAGGAGGCACGAATCTTACCTGGGTTACCGTTGTGCGAGCCATTGAACGGCTTTGGGCCGATTGCCCCGTCCACCTGATTGTTTGATGCCGCACAGGGGTGGACATGTCCTGCGTTGTGAAGGTCACTACGAGCCTTTGCGGCAAATAGCATGCATGGAGCTATGAGACACCTCACGGGTCCTAAGCCCCCCCCTCAACGCAAGACCCCAAACCCTCAAAGCAGCCGCAAGCCTGTAAGGCAACACCCGCACATTCTCGAGCCCTTAAATCCTGAGTTTCAGAAATACAGGGTCGCTAGCAGAGACCCTGAAGAGAAAGGTCATCATCAAACCGATGCATGAAGTCTGGGTTCGAGTTTAAGCGTGTTGACTCTGGTGGTTTTCTAAGATCTCCATTGATGGAGCCATGATGTCGGCTGCACAGTCCAGAACCTAGACTCATAACGCCAGGACTACATGTCCCGCAGTCATGTCCCACATTTGGCGAAGAAAGCACCGGATGCAGATGCCGATTCAGGGTTCATGTGTCAGGAGGGCAGAGAGTGGCGTGAACACGAAAGGCCGTGATGCAAGGATCTGGCTGGTCCCCAAGACCGGTTCCAAAAAGGGCTTAGGATTCTCTTGGACATGCCCTACGGAAAAAAACCATACCTAAGGCTGGTCCTCACTCTCGGCTGCTTCATCCGATACACCGTCTGGGAGAATGCCGTCCAGGCTCAGGGGGACTCCCGGACTTGTCTACGTTTTCAATGCCCAGCTTAGTTGCACTCTTTCTCTCTCTCTCTCTCTGTCTCTCTCTTCTCTCTTTGTGTATAGAGAGATCCATCTATCTCCATGTGTGTTTAGGTCACAGATAGTAGCCCTGAAGCTTTTCCAGCTGTTTGGCACCCTGACCCTAAACGCGACGCCCTGAACCCTTAGAGGCAACAGAACCCCTTAGTGTATGATAAAGAGGGTTAGGCAGCAGAAACCCGTACTTCAAGACCTGAAACCCAAAACTCCCTTCCGAGGCCCCTCGCTCTTTTCCGATCGTAATCCACTCCTGATTCCGAAACCGATGTTTAAGGGCCTATGTAAACCTGAGAGCCCTTGGGCTCCACAACTCCCAATTCCTCAAACACAGACACCGGGAAGAAAGAGCCGACTTCAAGATCGAGATCTATCCCTAACCCCCCAGGTACCTACTATATGAGGTACTAGAGCCCCTAAGGGAGATCTATCCCTAACCCCCCAGGTACCTACTATATGAGGTACTACAGCCCCTAAGGCCCCATCTAGTAGGCACTTGGGGGGTTAAGGTATTCTAATCCCGCAACTTAAACGCCAGGCAGACCATGCTCGTCGTCTCCTCTGCGGCGGCAACCAGGCCTGCCAGAAGTCTTTAATTTATAAATTCTTATCTGTCATTAATATGGATCATCTGTTATTAGTGAACTAAATCTTCAGGGCAGAGTGCCTTGGAACCATAAACCCCAAGACAGGACTTTGTCTACGGATCGCACCCTTCCTTGGGGCCGGTCTTCGTGGCAGCTGCTTGACTGACGGCAGGGTTTAAGAGTTGACGGCTTTAGGAGTTTGGGGTTTAGGGTTTAGGGTTTAGGGGTTTAGGGTTTAGGGTTTGGGGTTTAGGGCCTTTGGGGGCTTACGGTTCAGAGTTCAGGGTTTAGGATTACGTAAGGTTATGACACTAACGGCCTGCAGATCGTGGTCGTGACAAGATCGTCGCTTCGGCAGTGTTGTCAGAATTCCCTGGGTCAGATAGTCAGACCGAAAGCATGAGAGAGTCTAAACCCAATCAGCTCTCGGCCGTCCCTTATTAGTATAGGGGCCTAAGTAATTACCAATACTTTTTTTTTGTTGGGAGGGGGTCCTTGTTATTAGTATAGTATAAAGGGCTCCAAAACCCTATTCTAATTATTAAGGCCCCTATATTACACCGTTTCCAAGCACGAGATGAGCCTCTGCAAGGACACGCTGCCCTTCGACCAGCGAGCAGCGAACATGCTTCCTGGCATGCGACCTTTGGTGAACCAGGTGCCTCGACCGTCACAATCTTATCCAGGATTTATGATTGGGCTTTGGCCTATAGGATGCAGGGCTTCGAGTCCACATGGCCTCTTTGTCCACAAAGTGAGTATCGCAGTCGGCACGCAAGTGAATATCGCAGTTGGCGCGCAGCCATGGACAGAATTACGAGGTTCGCCCAGTCAGACATTATGTTGAGCGGCACCCAATCTCAAGGTAGTCTTCAACTACAATGTTGCGGATATGGACAAGTACATGTGGAGGCGGGGCATTCGGAGTTATCTATGGGTATCTAAGAATCTAAGAGCACTATCCAGCAGAATCTACCAGAGCCTTCACAACCAGTTGCAGAGATACCGCGCTACTATGTATACCACTGCATAACCCGGTTTCAATCATCAACAAAACGTTGCCCTGACTTCAAGGGCACGAGATGCCAAGCCAGCTGTCCAGAGACATGTGCATGTCGCCCAAGCCAGAGATAAAACCCTAACCCCTAAACCAAGTGCATCTCACACATCCCACAGGGCCGGCTATCAAGGGCTGAATAAGACCTGAGAGTCCTGAAATAAACCTGATATAACCCGTTACGGCCTATGTTTACATAAACGATAGTCTCTAAACCCTAAACCCTAAACCCTAAACCGTCGAGGAAGGAAGTCAACGGCAAATTGTTGGCGGTGAAGCATCTGCCATCAGCGGCGGAGATGGAAGCCTGGTGCCTTGGATTCTGTGTATTGGGGAATCGGTAATACATCATCAGTCCTCTCTCAGAAGTAATTCTCCATCCTTCAGTCTTCTGCTTTCTATCCTGATAACAAGTCGTGAAGCTTCTCTTCTCAAGCGACCGGCAGCCTCGAAATACGATCCGTGGCTAGTGGCGGTTTTTACAAAGTAAAGCCTGCGAGCCCCCAAAGTAGATTGGATTCAATCCTAGGTCCCCGCCTGCTGAGAGACACTCGCAAACGTCGGGTTGGTTCTTTAGACAGACGGTTCAGCGGTTTATGCCAGGACCGTTGCGGCAGCACGTGCAGCACAGAATGTTTGAGATGTATATCCGTCCCGCATCTTCCACCTCCGAACCTTAAGAATCCAGCTCCGTGCCATACTGCAGAGGCGTGATGAATAATTGACGCCGCTCCCTTAGTACGTTTATAGCGCGAACCGCACCCATAGGGGTTAAACCCTTGATCCTCCCTATGCCTGATACCCTAACCCCCGAAGCTCTTTGGTAACGAGGCTCCATATGTCCGATACCGAAGCACCAGAGGCTCGTGGGGCTGTGCATTCAGGGTTGGGGGTGTTTAGGGTTTAGTGGGTTACGGGTTCAGGCTTTGAGGAGTTGAGGAGTCCAGGATTCAGGGATTTTAGAGTTCAGGGAGATAAAGATTGCAAGTCTCTGTGGGCATCGGCTCCTCCTACGATGAAATGCTCGGAATGGTTAGGGTCTTGGTTCTACTGCACGAAACGCAGGTTTCTTACCAAAGAAGGCATGTCTTCATCCAGGTGCAGCTTGAAACTTACATTGTCGCTATCTATTGCAATCTGTTTGCAGGCACCCATCTGCCTGCCCCTCTGTTAAGTTCTTTTCCAATACGTCTCGTTTGGAACGTAGTTTGTCCTGCGTCTCAGGAGCCACTGCAAGAAGTCTAGGAGTGCTTTGCAGCTTCAGATGAGACCCTAAACCCTAAACCCAACAGGGTTTAGGGTTTATAAACCCTAAACAGACCAGCACTCCGGTTCCAGGAGAGCGCCTTCGGCAGCCGGAGCTACGGAACATTCTGCAAAGATCAAGACGATCCAGAGTGGTGGCTGACGGCTTCAGGGTTTAGGGTTTAGGGTTTAGGGTTTAGGGTTCGAAGAGTCTTTGTAACTGTTTGCTTTGCCAAACTCCGGAGGAATTCATGGGGCAAGAATAATTGCCTTTGGTTGCGCCCACTACCCCTACCCGCATTCTAGACGCTATGGAGGAAGACAGGGTGGCCACCCTTATATATCTCTTCTTCTTTCAGCTGAATTAGAGCCCTGCATCTGTTCACATGATTTAGTGATCCTGGCCTGGATGATGCGTGCCTTTCTCAGTTCGGTGAAGCCGCACGGTACGCTTTTTTCTGGCATCCAATATGTATGTCATACATGTATGTCTCTATAAATATATAAGTATGTGCAACTGTTTAAAAGCCAGGTACATTAAAACTCCTGCGAATGCATGTGCTTACGACACATGAACTTAAGTGAATGTTCGTCTAGACCTACATGTAGACATCATCACCTACACATTGACAGACACATACACACACACACACACAGGATCACACAGGTATACAGACAAACTCACAACAGGCAGACAGACAGACAGGCAGATCTGGATACATACGTTGACACATGCATCACATACACATGCTCGGGCACCAAGAGGTGCACGCACCAACCTCACTCACCATGCATCGACGAGTGTAGATACTATTGTAGCAATGAAGGTGGATCTAAACCCTAAACCCCAAACCCTAAACCCTAAACCCCAAACCTCCCCAATGTGTGGAGGTGGGAGGCCGAGTGGATTTGGCCTACCTTGGAGGCGGCGCACAACTTTGGAGCTCTGTTGTGACTTGTAATGCGAAAGCTTGCATGTCAAATCATGGGTTAGGTGCGGTGTCCATTCATGTGGTGGCACGGGTGGGGGGTAAGTCCTCTTGATCTCGGATGTTACCTGCATCTTGCACATCATCACTGCGACAGTGCTCTGTTCAGGCCCTCACTGGTGCCACAAGTTGTGCAGAAGCGAGGCCTTTTTGTGCTCCTCGATTGCACATGCTCTGGCCACTGGAGATCTTTGGTTCCAATACGGGGGTCTCCCGTAATACGGCTTATCAGCGGGACTCCAAATGTGAAGGGCCTGCAGGAACTTTTGAACCTACACTTATCCGTTAAACGATCGCGAAAACTTCATAGAACCAACGATCTGGCTTCCTCCCTGCTCAACCTCTGCCCCGCGCCTCGTTCCTGCATGAGGTTTCGGGGTTTAGGCGCATGCTCGGAAGCTAGAAGCACTGTCACGAGTACAGTGTACAGTGTTAGCTGGCGGACGAGTGGCTACCTACCAGGCGTTATTGCTTGCAAGCCTGCAGCAAAAGCTTTACGGATGCTCTTTCATGGGGTGTAGCGGGTTTAGGGTTTAGGGTTTAGCGGGTCTACACAACAGAAAAACCTTTCCGCAGTGCCAGGACCAAAAAGATTTACCGCTGGTCCGTATGGTGTGCCCTGAGCCGCTTGGTCCGCTTAATTCCTGAGGCTGAGGAACAAGTGTAAACCCATATAAAGATACATACATAATATATATATATATATATATATGTATATATGTATACATACTCATACATATACCTACTATGTAATGCACACACATACATACATACACACATATATATATATATATACAAAGACATTCGAATTCGCACATGTATACATAAATCATGACGTGATATGTTGGCCATGATGCTTTGATCTGCTCATTCATTATATGCACGTGTGTATTTACGTATGTCTGTCTGTATGTCTGTATGTGTATGTATGTGTATGTATGCGTGCATGTATGTTTGTATGTATGCATTTATGTATGTATGCATGTATGTACATGTGTGTGTTTATGTCATGGCCACACCCTAGAGGGCTCAATGCCACACTGCAGCGAAGATGTACGCTGTGTCATTGCTTGTGTGAAAGGTTTTGTTGCTGCACTGTTTTGAGAGTATGTTTGTCGGAAATAATTCGTTCGGCCACTGTGATAGTTGCCTGATGGTAGTCTGAGTTTTGTTACTGAGCGGTTCGAAGTGAGCCTCGTGTGTTGCTTTGGTCACCTGTAGTCCTCGCCTGACCTTGTCGAGCGCGAGTACTAAAGATGTGTTTATATATGTATCCCAAAGGGTCTGGCGTACCGACATAGTCGAAACATTCCAGAGAAGCATAGATATGGCCGGGACCAGCATGACAACATACCTCTCTGACAAAAGTGCTATTTCTGACGAACGTAGCATCTCTGCCAAAACTACCATAAACCGGACCACGGAAAAATGAAGAAGCTAAAAAACCTGGCCACGATCCAACAAGTGCGCCCGCACTTGGGCCGAACAAATCCGATTTTCATGTGTACATGATCATGCAGGCTGTAACAATATATGTATATTTTATGTGCTAACACACGTGGCACATGCATGGGTGCATCACCTGCCGGTCGCTTTATAGGGGAGTTCTAGGGCTTGTCATCAGGATTGGACCGTTTGGGGTATAGTCGGTTTCAGGCCATTGGGTTTCGGATCCCACAGGAATTTGCAGGAATGTTAGCCCAAAGGGTCCTATATATGGGCTGTTTGTCGGGGATAGTTCCCATCCATATATTGCAACAATTAATCTAGAATTCGAAATCCTACCATTCGTATTTAGAGCCTTGGGGTAAGAGCTGCGTCGAATCCGGCACCATACCGCGGATCAAGCGGGGAGAAATCGACTGTTAATCGCGTATACAAGCGGCTATGCTAGCTAACCGAAACCCTAGCTAGCTAGCATATATATATATATATACTGAAACCCAACTATATATTATTTTAAAGCCTAAACAACCCCTAAACCCGACCCCTAAACCCCTAGCTAAACCGGAGGCCACAGGGCAGGGGTAGGAGCCGTAGTTAACAGCCATCTTTTCCCACCGGCGGCGAACGTTGCTGCACTGCACTGGTATCCGCATGCCGAGCCTTGGCTGCCAGAAAGGCCCAAACATCTTAAGTCGAATCCAAAATAATTCGAATATATAATGAGCCGAGCAGCCCATCAATCGTCGCTCCCATGCCCCGCAGCATTCATCTGGAGCCTTATATTTCGACCCATGGCCAAGCCCAGGCCCCAAAAAACCTCCGACCCAACCTATTAATTCTTCGGAGCAGCCAAATGTAAAACCGCTGGATCGTGGATCGCTCCATCGTCCGAGGGTGAGCCATCGAAGCGATATCTCGGCGAGTCGCAAATATGTTTATTAATAGGCCTGGGCCTATAAATCAAATTAAAGCATATGCACGAATTCAAGCCATGGCTCTTATAAATCGTCCGTTGAAGTCTTCGCTCGAAAAGGTGTGGTAATATCTCCAATTGTATCCTCAGCTGTCGGCTAGCCCTAAGCCGTAACCCTAAACCCTAAACCCTAAAGCCTAAACCCTATAGCCTATAGCCTAAAGCCTAAAGCCTAAACCCTATAGCTAAAGCCTAAAGCCTAAACCCTAAAGCCTAAAGCCTAAAGCCTAAAGCCTAATTAACCCTAGTAAACCCTAGCAAACCCTAAACCCTCGCCCAGCCGCTCTCATTCGAAGCGAACCACACCATCTCTTGGAGCCCCTTGGCGTTGAATTTAAAAACCCCTAAACCTGCAGCCCTAAAGCCCTATGCACCTACGGCTAAACCCCGAACCTTAACCTGAGAGCCCTAGCTAATCGGCTCAAGATGAAAGCATCTGTGGCTATGTCCAAGGCACATGAATTTTTGGTCTCATCGGGCACAATCCATGCTGCAAACTTGGATCTTGAACTGCTGCATCAGCGACCAGGACATAACCGGCAATAGCATTGTCCTGATATTCGCCACCCAACCAGACCCGAGGGGAACCCTAAACCCTAAACATAATATAACCAAAGACAAGCTGCGGCCGACAGCTTGATCCTCGCAATCTCCTCATCGTTCAGATACCGTGGGGATTGCTCGATCACATTGAAAATGTCCGATAGGTAGTACCTTAGTGCAATATATGCCGTATCGCATCTAGCCACAAAGCCGCAAACTTCGACAAGACTAGTTTGAAATTTAAGCCGTGGGTCATGCATTGAGCAAGTGCTCGGAAGATCGGGGTGCGATGCTGGGCTGCAGCGTTCACTAGCACGTCGGCCATCCAGCTGCACATGACACGTGCCTTATATTGCTGAGCGATCGATTATACGACGAAAGTACATGTATGCGTACAGTCAAGGCTAGGGGCATTGTATGCCTTGGCCCCGAATTCCAGCTCTCCATTCTGTTTGCGTAACATCTTTGGTGCAAAGACAGGCTGCGAATGCCTGATCGCAAATGGAGAAAAAATCGTACCGAACCCCTGAACCCTAATTAACCCTAAACCCTAAAGCCTATATAAGCCTAAACCCTATATAATAACCCCCTACCCTAAACCCGATCCTACCGAGCTAAGGCACACAATCTTCCTCCGCGAGCACCATTCCTTGAAGTCAACGTATGCATTTCGGAGTTGCTCGGCTTTGCTGCCGCCTCCAGGCCATAAATCCTGAGCGGTTTAGGGTTTTGGCCCATTATATAGGGTTTGAGGAATTGTCGGGTTGTTCTGGCTTTCAGGCTCGGGGTTAGGTTTAGGCCGGCCTAGGCTGCCCCGGCTATAGGGTGCGACATATATATGGATATCCAGCCCAGCCACATGCTGCATGCAAACGACGAATGCAGCTGCCAATGCCCAGATGACCGGCCCCAGATTGTACGTGTGTAGGGAACACCAGCGTATCATCGTGTGGTGGTAGCCGACAAGCTCGCTTGTGAAGCCTTTATTAATAATATATTATAACTTAAACCCTAGACCCTAAAGCCTAAAGCCTAAAGCCTATAGAGCCTAAAGCCTACCCTAAGGCTCTTATGCTGTTATGGGCTTTCTAGCAGGCGAAGGTTTGGGCTTTGGGGCTAAGGTTTGGGCTCTCACTATGGGGATATTAGGGTAAACCCTAATAAATAATATTAGGGATTGTATACCGAACACCCCGGGGGCCCTTATAACATCCCTATCTTAATTATATATAATATGATATATATATATATGTGTGTATAACC